CCAAAATCAAGCAGTCCTTAAACTAAAGAGCTTATATTCCTACAGTTTTCCTCTCCTCAAAGTATACAATACTTACTGTTGTGTGTGTGCATGTGTAACAATACTTAGCCTCATTCTTTAAACTCTTTGTTGCAAATGTCTTCCTTTCTATGAAATGTATAATTTTCTCTGCCTTAACATGAATTTTCTAGGGTTTTAAATTTATCTTTTTTTTTTTTTTTCCCCTTGGGAAAACACTGCATTCTGATAGTTGAAGGCAAATATACTTCAGAAATTTCCTTAGGGATTTTTTCTCTTGAATTCTCTTGTTACACTTGATAAAGATATCACACAAATTAATAAATGCATCTGAGAAATAACATTAATTAAAATAATAAAAGGAAAACAGTGGAAAATAAAGTAGAGTAAAAAAGCAAGATTTAATCATGATAAAAGAAGGGCCTCACTCTCTTATATGATAGGCCTATAGTTCATGTACAAACTTGATGAGCATTTTATGACAGAGTTTCAGTGTAACACCCAAATAAATCTCAGGCAAATCAATACATCAGTATGTAGTTTATAAAATCCATGAGTTTCTGTGGCTTGAGGTTTTTTTCCCAACACCTGACTAATCCAAATTCTTGGTTTTTTTTTCTCAGGATTTCAAAAGAGTCATTAGGAGAAAATTGCAGTAGATCTATGTTGTAGGGGAATCACCTCATTAGTCCACACTCTTTATAACATCCTCTATTAAGTTCATTGGTTTGGGTTTTAAACTGGGGAAAAACGATATTTGGCCATGTCAATATAAATGAATATAAACTGAACTATCTTTCTCTGAAATCCCTTGACTGACCTTAGGAGAAATGCAATAAATGATATGGTAATTATATTCTGCTCTTTTACCAGATGTCTCCATTTCTCTGAAATACCATTTTTTCAGTTTTATAACCTTTGGCTCTCTAAATACCAGAAGAACCAATATGGCTAGTTACTTTTTCTTCATTATTGCAAGAATTATTCCCATGTCGCACTCTATATTGGCTACTGTACTACTTACGGCAAAGTGTTTCTGTTGTGCAATAATGGTAATAATTTCATTCAACTGTAAAAGATTTGACCGTAACTGCAAGAATATTATTTGGCACAGTTCATATAAAGAACCCTCCTTTATTGAAAGCAGATGATTTGCAGTAATTGGCATGCTTCTTCTGGTCCTGCTTAGGAAGGCTCTAGCTAATAGAAGAGTACTGAGTATCTTTGAACTGAAGGCAGTAGCAAGGCTGCCACTGTGACCTGGTCTATGTCATCACTTCAGTCATTTCCCATAAATCTTTAAGTGATACAAGCAGCAGAAACACACTTCCCATTACAGATCAGAGGATGGACCCATTTATCCACAACTCAGAATCAGTGTTAGCAGATGAAATGACACCAGCGTAAAAACATCACACAGAAAAAACTATTTTTAACATTCTTAACATGGCATATCCTGACTTAAGCACAGCTTTGAAGAAATCAAGAAAGATGGGAGAAGAAAGGAAGTGAAGGGTCCTGTGATGCTTCCCTGTTCCTTTCCTCTGAATCAATGACACTTTCATATGCTGATTTTGAGACACTATATGCCAAGAATCACTGTCCCTACATCATGGCAATTCAGAGCACACAGTAAGGGAGAAGTGTTGCAGTGCACCCTCCTTTGGATCCTTTCCCTTTTGTCAACTAAGTGAGCCATGGCACAGTACTGACAGCTGTGTACTGAGATTTTATAACCTAGTTTTGGTGGGGGTTTTTTTCCATTGTACTTTTTTTTGGTTTTTTTTTTTTTTTTGGTTGGTTGTGGGGGTTTTTGTTTTGGTTTTGGTTTTGGTTTTTTTTGCTTTCCCTAATCCACTTTCAGGCTTGAAGGTGAAAGCCTGGATGAGATGCATTGGTGATTCACCCCTCAAAAGAGGTTTAATAAACCCTTCAGTGTGTCTCTCCATGGTAGCTTACCATAGCCTTTGAAAGTAAGGGCATTTTTAAACTGCAATAATTAAGTTGTCTCAGAGAAGCTGCAAAAATTTGTTGTGACAAATGAAAGCATCTCAGGGTAGAGGCTAGATGCTATCAAACTGTTCAATACTATGAGCCTAAAAACATTGTTTCCATGAAGAACTTAATACAGTGAGCAGATATCCAGTTCCACTGAAATCAGACATCAACTCTTTCACAGAACTGATGATGAAAGAGATAAATCTGCTTTAATTTCTATGCTAAGAAAATAGAAATCACTTCCCTACAGCTCTTTCCACACTCATTTCTGGACAGTTTTGTTTGTTCAAAAGTAGCAATTAACCTACATGTTTATACACCTCTAAGAAAGAGCATAGCAAAAATTATTTCTGCACTTACCTATACCTATTAATCTTTTGTTTTGAATACTGTTAGGAAAACAAACAGGCTGCCCCAATAATACATGGAAGTTGCTACTGCTGTTAACATCTCCTGCATGTGTGGTTTGGTATGTCATCTAAAATCAGCATGGAAATATAAGGGAGTCTTATTTATGTAAAAAAAACACAACAGTGCTCACATTTCATTGCAGCCACAGTATGAAGGGTGTTCGGGTTGAAAATTAAATTGGTGTTTTAAACATAAGTGTACTTTACTAGACAATAAAAATATGAGTTTATTTGTGTTTAATCCTGATACTGTAAAAACTTGGAAAAATGTCAAGACTACCTTGAGCTCTAAAGGTTATATTTATGAAGATGTTCATATCAACTTTTGTGAAGTGCTATTTTCTATGGAGTTGAAATTATTTGCCAGTAAGCTGTGAGTTCTTTACTATGCCGTCTAAATTCTGGTCAATTACATTGATTCTGAGATCAGTAACTTAATTTTTTTTTCCTACAAAATGATTTACAATCAGCAGAAATTGTGGTTGTACAATAGTTGAATAAAGTGTCTGACCATACAAAACATTGAACCATGCAAAAAGTTTTACGAACATCTTTATTGGAAATGTGAAGCCCTAATCCTAAAAATCCCTTTACCGTAATAGGATAAACAAATGTAATTGTCAGGAATCTTATCATTCCATGTCTCAGACTGCACTGGCATACACATTATGGCTTCAGCAATACTTTAAATACTACATGGGGAAAAAAAAAAAAAAGCCATATCTGCAGTACAGCTGGAAAAAGTAGCCTGACTGCTCAGAAGGAATTTCACCATAATGAAAGAGTAAATAGACTTTCACTGCCTATGAAAACCAAGTCTCCAGCATAAAACATCATTGCTTATGTGCAGCCAAAGTTTTCGAAACACTAATATTCTGGCTAGCAGAAAAAAACTATTACCAGTTCTTTTTTGGTACTACTTACTTCTACAGCAGATTCTCGATGTGCAAGAAGGACCTCTTAGTACCCTTGGAGCCTGTTTTATTAAATTTCATAAACCAAGTGAAAGGCAGTCTGGAGCGATAGAGCCCTCTGATAGATATTTACGTGCACAACAGATAGATGATGTTAAATCATCCAAGAGAGAGGTGACTTATCTCTGCAACTTTAAACCTTGACATTTAGCAGGACTGAACAAATGGCACATGTACCTTAAGTGCACAGGATTTATTGTTTTCCTCTACCTAGGTGCCCATTTTATGTGAGTCCCTTATTAAAATATTACTGCAAAACACCTAAAGCTTCAGTCTAAATTCCTGAGATGTCATCTGGGGTTTTGAATATTTGTTGTCTAGAAATGTCTTTTCTCTAGAGTTTTGAAACTGTAACCTGTCTATAATTTATTTAGAGACGCACTTGCCTTCTGTCTCCAGATAGGGAATGTCACATAGAAGTGTAAGCCATTGTTTTCATTTCAGAGGCAAGGCCTTGTGTTGATAACACATTCAAACTCACTGGGAATAAATGAGGGGACTGCAAAACCCTCTCGATCACTTCTCAAATACTCACTGGCAGTATATTTTCTCAATAAACAGGCTCAGTACCAAGTGTCTAATCATTCGAGAGCAGAAAAACAGAAGTATTTTTCCAGGTTAAGCCAAGGGTCTGACTAATCTCACCATTCAGCGGGGGCCTCACTGAGTTGTCTCCAGAGAGAGTAAGTGAGCAATGACCCACAGCTCTTTGGTCCTGTGCCGAACTCTTAGGCTCTATTTTTCTGATTTTTTTTGAAGTATCAATAACACTTCCTTCATGATTTTTTTATTGATTTTCCCTGTTTCCCTTGGTTCTCAGCTTATTCTTTAAGGCATTTCTGTTCCTTTTCAAGACAGGCATAGGCTTGCCCTTTCCATGACATTGAGTAGGGATGAAGGATGTTTGAGGAAGGATTAACGACTGGATGTGGCACTAAGTGTTGTGGTCTAGGTGACAGGGTGGTGATCAGTCAAAGGTTGGATTTGGTGATTTTAGAGGTCTTTTGCAGTGATTTTGTGATTTTGGGACATAAGAGATCAACCCAGTACAAGTACTACCTCAGGATTTTCTCCACAAGTCTTTCACAGAGAAAATGCCTAGCCCAGAGACAGTACCACTACATTTAACTCAGAGCAAGTTCTTGCCTGAGGAGTGTAGCTGGAGTAGAATTGCCATCTGTGCTGCCTGGAGAGAGGGTGGTAAAAATCAAGGAAACAATTAGAAGGGGTCACCAAACTGAGGTAGAGATTCTCATCTGTGGCCTGCCACTCCCAAACAAATATTCATGAATGTCATTCAACTTACCTTCTCATTACTTTTTAGGTCTAAATAAGAACTTCCAGAGTTTTGAAAGACACAAGACAATAAAAAGGTAATCACTCTTCCTTTTCAGTGTCATGTACCAATAAAGTGGGCTTGAATAGAAGCTCTCTGCTAAAATAATTTTTTTCATAATTCAGTGATGTAAGGAGTCAGTGCTACTGGACTTATTTGTGGGAAGGGGGAAGTACATTATTTGTTAATTAAAATCTCAAAGATGCATTTCTTGCAAAAGAAGAATTCATTTAAACTCAAGAAAATATATTACCATACTTTTTTATTTAAGTAAGTATCTTGCTTTTTAGGCCTAGAAAGAGTTGGAAATATCACCAAGGCTTGTAATGACTTATTTTCTTTGTGTTACACCTGTAAAAGAAATAAGGTCCTTCTTGCTGCACAGATGGTTGCTATTATGTCTTCCTTTGCAATATAGTGAAAAGATCAACAGAAAACACAAGAATTACACTGGTTTTATGTGTTCTTCTCTTCCTGAGAAACAAGGACTTCTTCTTCCTGTTGAAGAACATAAAGTAGAAGAAATACTGTCAAAGTTTGATTACATTTGTGCTGATATTCATGTGAATGGCACACATGGGACCTAGTACAGTGTGTAGGATCTGCATTATTAAACTATAAATATCTACGCTCCTGTTGTCTACATCTGAGTTTGTCACCCTAAACTTTATTACAACTAATAAGAAGTAGACACAATTGACCTATTTCAGATGCCTACATTAGACTGATCTGTATTAGGTTTCAGAGGTATTACAAATCTTTCCCAAATTGCAGCAAAAGAATTTCTTAAGAGTTAACAGGTCATAAGAGTTCCAGTGATGAACATCCAATCTGGAAGACTATAGGGAAGAGAAAAAAAAACCAAACAAAACAAAACACAATGTGTGAGAATAGCTGGAGAATATTTTGTCAGAATTAACCCTTTATATATAACAAATAGGTTTCTGAAGAAGAAATTTATTTTTTTCATTAAGAAATACTGGATCAGTTGAACAAAAAAATTATGTGCACATAGACACTAATGGCCAGTCTTCGCGAGCGAAGATCCGGGGAAGGTCTTTCCACCTTCCAGCCTGCGCATTGGATTTTTTAGGTGAGACACAGTGTGCGCGGAACTGAGCCCACCCTTTAATCCTAAGGTTCATCTGCCGGGGCCAAGCGAGCTTGGACGGTGGCAGTGAGGTCCTTAGGACGTAGGTGGGTTGCCTTTAAGGGCTAACGAGCCCCACCTGCCCGGGAGTGGCCCTGACCGGGAATCGAACCCGGGTCTCCGCGGTGATAGCGTGGCGCCTTTACCACTGGACCACCAGGGGCTCCTACATAGACACTAATATGTAAATATATACATCAACCAAAGTTACACCATTGATACACTGAAGAAAAGTAGAATGCATTCCTGTGTGTACTGATGGTTCGGGGAAAAGAAAGAATGTTAAGACCAGGACCACCTTCTTTCTCTCTTAGACAGAAATATTCAATATCTACTGTTTTAACCTCTTTGGAACCATTTCAGTTCCTTCCTTTAAGGTTTAACTGGCACAGAAACACATCCCTGGCTTACCAATTGGCTTCTAGTTTTTTCTGTAGTGTGGATTAAACTCAGTAAGATAATTTCAGTGGAATATGTTTGAAACACAGATGCCTTTTTCATGATCTGTGCATAGTTTGTCTCATTTGAAACTCGCATTTCAAATCTAGAGTTATCTTGCCAGAAGGGACTTTTCTGGTATCTCATATCCAGGAGACCATAAGTGTCCTTGTGGGATTTGCTTTTAAACACCTTTTTCTCAATATCAAATTGCCATTTTCCCTCTGGAACCTTCTTTACAGGATCCTCTGAAGGAGCTTGACAGGTCATGTGGGAACAGTATGAGAAAACTGCTCCTTTAACTTTGCTTTTTCTGCAGGAAAACTACCCCAAATAAATACAGGATCCAGAATTATTTCAGTAGTAACTACAGAAAATAAATGGTGTTTCAAGCCATGGGGAGGAAAAGTTAGGCATTTAAATGGGTGAAGAATAGGTGTCTATGCAGCCTCAAGCCTCCAAAGACTTAATGCTGTGTAACTGCCACATGCATTAGTAAAACCACCCAATATCTGTCATTCTATGAGTATTGTCACTGTTTCTTTTAATTAAAAGATTTTGCTTTCCTTTCCACCTGTCCTGTCTTTGCTGAAATCAGCAAGAACAATGAAGGTATTCTAAATAATTAAACCAATTTTTTTTTAGTTTGACAAAAATAAAATTATTCAACATTTTGTATCTCATTTTACCTTCAAATTGACATAAAGGAACTCCTGAGACCACTCCTGAAATCAAAACTATGACTGCAAGTCTACCCATTTGATGTCAGATCTGATGTCAAGCCTGACACCACTAATTTCTGATACAGTGTAAGTTTAAATTTTACAGATTTCAGAGGCGGGTTTCCCATCCCACTCTAATCTCTGTAGTGAATTCAGTGTTTCAGGAGTATCAGGTTGACAGCTTTGGCATCTGTAGTTCTATGCAAAGCACAGCAATTGTTCTCAGCTAAATGGTAGAAGATCAAGTTATTAAAACTTCTCCTTCTGCAGCACACAAGCTTTCCCACAACCTGCCTTTAACATAGCTCAGACCAGTGTTGGAGGCAGGCCCTTCTGCCAATTGCGTTGTCCATATTGATGGTTCAGTGATGTGAACTCCTGCCCCATTGCAAGCCAATCTGCAATATCTAATTCATTTCACTTATTGACCTACGGGCACTACTAAACGCAGCTGGATGCAAGCAGTGACCCAGAAATGAAAGGTTTGCTATCCTCTTACCCGTACCCTCAGGTGCCCTGCCCTTTTTGGTGATGTTTGTGTAAGTTAAGGTTTTGTATTAAGTACCACAGTTCTTTCACCTTATACCTCAGACCACTTCACCGTGCAAAGTCCAGTGCACAATTCTTTTATAAAAATTATGGGTTTAAATCACCAAGTAGACATCATACAATTTCCTAAGTAATAACACTATGTATGTAAAAAAATAAAACCAAATGGAAGCAGTGTTGGGAGTAATCAGGAATAATATCTTATTTCTTTTTTCTCTAAACATCTTTTTCCACAGATTGACTCAGCTTTAGGTGTCCTTTAGAATTCACAGTAATTTCCAAACTTTGCAAATAGCTGATTTTTCAGTTTTTACAGCACAAATTTTAAATTGGGAGTAGTCATCAGGACTCCACAAAAGCAGAGAAAGGGCAGATCGCCACTCCTTCCTAATGCCTCTTAAACTCTTGTTGATTATGAGAAAAATAAATAAAAGCCATGTAAACAGTTCCTTCCTCAGAGACAATAAATAACTTCTTGAACATTTTTCCATAGACAGGAAAGATCCAGGACTTCAGCATATACTCTGAGAAGGTATATTTGTCTTATCATTTTTTTCAGGGAGAATGACAATGAAGTCACAAGTCTATTTCTTATGGTTTTCTTATAATATTTATTGATTAAAAAAAAAAGATAAAAAGTTGTGATATTTTATTAACCTTTAACCAGTGAAATGTACACCATTCAAAGGAACTGTGTTCAAATCTAGGTACAAAACATTTCATGAAATATCAATCCACTAGAAACTTATTCTGAAAATTATGTGGATGTAATGTCTTAAGTTTCTGAATTTCAACATCAAATCATTAGGCAGAAAATAGATGCCTTAAACCAAACAAAAGGTGGACAAAACCTAAAATATATTCAACTACAAATCTCTCTTGTATTCTGCAGGAGCCATTTTGTCAACATTAGAAGGGGACCTGAAGCAGCCTCAAGGAGTGAGATTTCCTTATGGTTCTCTCCTGTCAAATGATACCCTTTTCTTTACCTTCCTGCAGTCCTTTCCCTACCACAATATGACATCACTTTTGAGAAGCTGGAGTCTGTACAATTCTACTGTGTGCTCCAGTAAACTGCCAAGGCTTTCCTCTGAAAACAAAGGAGGTTGTTTTTCTGGTTCATTTTCCAGTAAGTTTAGGATTGTGTTGTTATTGTGATAAAACCTTGAGAAAGATATAAAATTCTAAGCATAAAGTTTTACGGATCTTGCATACTGACTAGCAACTTAGAGATACAGCCTGTGGAAAACAGTATATGGTTTATGGGTTTGTTTTTCTTTCTCACTTCCTGGATCACTCCAGATGGGAAAACAGAATACAAACCAGAATAATTTTAATAACAGTCTTGACTCTGAAAATTCCTTGGTTACAAGTATTGACTGGAAAATTTATGTCTGTCAGGTGGAAGATGATACCGAACCTTCATCTTCCAGAAAACAACATAGCAGAGAGGGCACAGGGCTCTTCCATTTGTGAAGGAACAAAAGTTCCTTTATGTTGACACTTCAGGACTTCAGAAGGACACTGTACATCACGGAATACTAGGTGCAGAGTATTTCTTCAAGACTGTATTTGGCATCTAACCTTGAGAGCTTATTCACAGATTTCCTCCCTAATATTTCAGGCTTAATTTGGTACAGTAAGTGCTGCAGTGAGTTAGGGGAAGATACTATAAGAATTCTTGACATCTGTGCCAGGAATGAATTATTCCAGATGAATTTTTCTTCATTTTCTACCTGAAGTATAGATAGAGCATTTCATTCACTGCATTCTCCTTCTTCTCTATGCCATATCACTCTTTATTCAGTGCAGAGAAGTATAAAGAATCAGGATTCTGATTTCCTTTAAGCAGAAAGATTCCTCTAAGTGAAGCATTGCAGTCATATGGCATTTAGAAATGCCTTTCACCTACAACTAGTCTTTTACATTTTACAAAGGGTCTGCAAAACAGAAATAACTGAATTTGCTAATCATAATGATTAGGTGAATCACAGACACAAGCTGAGCTGAGCAGCAAAATAAACTAAAATTAGCAACAGCATGCCCCTGGCCTAGGGCAACATCCAGCTGATGAACAGAGACAGCTGGGACTTCATCCTTGCTCTACATTCTGTTACGAAAACTAATTTGTTATGTCACTTGTATATTAGCAGGGACAACATCAACCTTCTCGGGCACCTGCGTTGCAATTTCTGTGTGGTTTTGCTTCTTTGTGGTTGCAGTCCACCTGCCAGGATGTATTCATCAGGACACAGTACAAATATTGTGAGAAAGAGAGTGGTGGAATAGCTGTTATTACATCTGTCACTGATAATCCGCCTAAAGCCCTTGCATTTGCTCTTCACAGGATCTATAAAGGCATTTCAAAAGATCTATATAGCCATGTTTTGATTCATCAGGTCCCCGTCAGCTTTTCATGCTTTTCTTCCTTGCCACAGATTAACACTCTCCCTCACTTGGCTGTAAATGCCGCAACACAGCTTTTTATAAACTAATCAATATTTAATCATTGTAATACTTTGGAGGTTAAGAGAGGTTCAGACATGAAAATTATATTGCACTTCCCCGATATTGGAAAGACCTCACTTTGACTCTGTGGGATTAATAAATGATATTATTCCCATTATAACAAGGAATCC